AATGTAATTTATATTGTCTATTTTATGAATGGAGCTGTTAGGAATTTCTGTCTGGAGAGCTTCAACTATTGGGCAGTATGGAAATGAAAGAGCTATTTAAGTGTTCTGGATTTAAATTTATAGGTTGTTGTAACATTAGTATTTATGAATGTGTGTAACATGGACATTATCTGATAACTTCACATTTGGATTCAGGGAGTGAAAGTACAACCTGAATTCAGAATGAAAGTTCAAAAATTTGGGGGTTTTGAAGGATCTGACTTCCCATATGTAGATTGAAATGTTATTCTCAGAATTCTGCTATATCAGTATATAATAGGTAATTTGCATAATGCATATACAGCAACACCTGAACCATGGCTGTTGTCTAGTAGTCCAATATTCTGTTCTCAAATGAGGCCAGAGAGAAAACTCTGAAAGCTTCAAAGCATACTAAGAGAGCACTGTGAGCCTTAACAATGGTCTAGTCCTCACTGAGGTAGATTGAGTTGTACCACTTCAGGCTACCGTGTCAAACTCACAGAACTGAATCTGCTAAAACCAAAAATCCCTTGTTCAATTATATCCAAAATTGAAACACCTGCAAATAAATAATTAGGATGCCAAGGAGAAATGTTCCAGCCTTAACTTCTCTCTTGAATTTTTAAAAATGTGTATTCCACCTTTCTGTTCATTGGTACTCAAGGGGGCTAACAGTACAGATATATATGTAAACTGTAATAAAATGCATAGTTAAAACATAAAAATAAGGCAGGTAAAATATAAAAAGAAAAACCCAGCCAGTTGCAACTCATCGACAAATCAGCTTCAAGGCCAAAGGCCTGATTAAATAAAGATGGTTTTGCCTGCGAGCACAGATAGTAGTAGATTCAGGCGGTCTTCTTTTTTCTGGTACGAAGGCGTCTCAGTTATATGAACTTTCATCTGGAGTTTGAAATGGCACAGTCCAGGGACAAGTCTACCACTGCAGTGCGAACTTCATCCAAGAAACATGATTGATCAGTCCCACTGTCCCAACGAGCCATAGAAGAATGTCATGGAACAGGATACTGATTCCCGTGCACTGTTTTGAGTAAGGGCTGGGGCGGCCATGCACTCAAGTTGAAAGATAATTGTACATTCCTTCAGCATGAGAGCTGTGCACAGCTATTCCAGGAGCTCAGTTCTGTCCAGGCATGCTCAGAAGCAAACCTTGCTCTGGTGCATGGAACCAGGAGAGTGCGCATGAGATTGCTACTTTATGGTTCAAGCCTGTGCGTGTTTACCCAGACCTAGCAGTTGTCTCCAGTGGGACCCACTCCCTGTTAAGTTCATGTTGACTTGTTCCCTTAAGTTGCAATCTGTAGCATTTATTTGGGGGATTCTCCCATTGAAATAGTGGAATGGCAAGTTCATGTTTTTATGAGAGCCAGTGCATGAGACCGAGTGTGGTGTAGTGGTTAAGAGCATGGGACTGGGACTCAGACTTACTTTGGAGCATGTATTTTGAATTAATCTTCCATATTCACGCTGAAATGTGGACAGGTGGAGGAAGTTGTATAGTGTTGGATCCAAAGCGTTCAGCTATTGCAGCCTCTTCTTAAAGGGCTGTTTCAGGGCCTTGGAACTGCAGGTGGTGTTCGGCAAGACGCAAGCGGGCTGCCTCCACTGCCCATATTCTGATCCATAGATTAGGAGCTCTTAGTATCCCTTCCACTAAATATTAAAGGCTCTGTGCCTCTGCCAGTGGCGGATGAATTGTGCTTAGGATCTGTGCAGCTGAAGCCCAGGCCAGCAAAGAGATGCCTGTGCAAGGCCAAAAGGAGACAGAGGAACTGTCTGCCATGGTGGATTTTCTGGCTGGCAAGGCCAGGCTTAAGAACTTGCCTCCCATTTAGTGATTGGCTGCAGGGAAAAACAGTTACAAATGCAGCAGGATCCACTGTCTGCACTGGCTTCAAATGGAAATGGCAGAACAACAGAGAAACTCTGTTGTGAAAAGCAAAATCTGCATGCTTTTTTTCTCCTTAGCCAAACTAGTCTGTGAGTTGATAAAGAGGAAGCATTGCAAGGTAAAAAATAAATTTCCCAGTGCTTCTCTGTGAACTTTGCCTCTGGTTCAGGCTGATTTTTTCCAAGAAGAGTGATCTGAGGGCATGTCAGGGCTATCGGTTGGTAACCAACAGCATGAGAGGCAAGGGATGTGGATGAAAGATGGGATTTCCTGCAAACATATTGTCCTCCAGGGATTTTGATTTTTAAATAGCCCAGCCACGCGGCTGCCAATAAAGGAGCACTGAAAGAATGCAGAGATCAGCTCAGGCTTTTTCTTTCCTCCGTTCCAGATCTGGCAAGCCCAACTTGGTGCCTCGCAGAGGAACTGGGCTACAACTCTGACCATTCTCAACCACCATAGCCATTGGCAGTGACTGGGAATGATGGAAATTGCACTCCAGGCGCTTTGGTGGGCACCAGGCTGGAGAAGGCTCCCCCTGGGCTTGTCAGAGTTCTGAACTGTAGATTGTTAGGGTGAAAAAGCTGAAAGATAGTTAAACTATAAGTTACTAAAGAAATAGGAAATGACAATTTCCACATACTTTGCAGAGGCTGATGCATATTTATAGATGCAAGTTTTGAAATAATTATAAAGTGAATAGAAATGCAGTTTTATTTCAAGATTAGTGTGGAGGATTGTGACCAGAGGAGTTGCATGTTTTGCGCAGTCTGCTGTCCAGTTGCTAATTGCACAAATACTTTTACCGTTCTTTATCATTAAAGCAGAACTGGACAGGACGGCTGCTCAGATAAAAGACAGCCCCTATTTGCATTCCTCAAATATAGAATTATTCTCTGTCAGAGGAACAGGGCTGAAAACCAGAGGAAGTCGGTTGTTTTGGGCATCCTGCCCTTCTGGGCCAGTTCTGATAGAACACTGTGTATACTTTGATGTGCATGCTATTTTGTGGGATTGAAAATTCACAGCTATAAAGCCTTGCCAACAGAAATCATAATGATGTGTGTGCCCTTGTACTGTCCTCTCTCGTATGCTTAGACAGGAACTCTGAATAACAACATTCACTTGCTGAATGAGCTTCAAGTGAACCCAGTCCTCCAAACCACTGAGGTTGAGTTACCAGAGTGGCTGCATGAATGATCCCATTGTTAAGAATATGGAGAGTTTCTTTCTACTCTATGGTCCTCATGATGCCCAAGTGATACAGAACTTTTGATGTAAGGGTCTCCTGGACTGAACCATTGTTAGCGTTAATAAAATGATGATTCCACACTTCAAATGAATGAACTAATGCCTTAGGTGACTAATCAATGGAGGCAGATTTATTTACTGCAGTCACATTTAATCAGTAGAGCTGAGAGTGAAAGTGTTATCTTTTGGTGCATCAAAAGGAATGATAGATGACGTATTAAAGGTTGTCTTGATTTCAAGCAATGTTTTGTTTTTATTCCTAAGTTATGCTCTACTTTGTTTCCCAAACGACACACAGTTTTGATTCTTTGAGTATCAATGCTAACAAGTGATTGATCAGTTTAAAATCATCTTATAAATAAATCAGCTGAGGGTACAATTTTACATGTTTAGGAAAAAGTAAAACTCTCAGCATTCTCTGGCTTGATATCCCTGCAACACGGGATTTTGGTCCTATTGTGCAGCCCTAACCCCTAGTTCCACTGGCAGGGGAGCGAGATGTGAAAAGAAGCTGGCAGGGGCCATCTGCCCAGCCTCCAGTTATTTTTATTTATTTATTTATTTATTAAAACATTTTTATGCTGCCCCATTCGCCGAAGCCTCGGGGTGGCTTACAAATATGCCTGTGGAAAGCTTGGTGGGCAACAAGCGATTATTAATGGTGAACTGTAATAGCAAGTGTTACAGAGGCATCTCTGGAGAACCTGGTTACAGGTCAGCCTAGATATTTTCTCAGTAATTTCACTGAGATTGGGAGAAAAAAACAACAGCCCCTGGAGGCCGGATGCTCTCTCTGTGGTAGATTTTCCTCTTGGGTTAATATTGCTTTCCCAGGTGCCCTAATTACTAAGGGGAAAAAAGCCTAACTCTGAAATTGTTGCCCAAATGAAGGGCAATGTATAACATTAATCAATAAACAGAGAAAGGTCTTTCTGTCCCCATTCCCTGGCCAGGGAAGGTGTGGTCACTCCAACCCTTGCTTTTCTCTTCCTTCCTCATTTCATTTCTCTTTTATATCATGCCTATTAGTTTGTGAACCTGTGGGATAGCTTTTCATTCATAGCTTTTAAAAGATACCTTTTAAGATCTGTACATCACCTGGAAAATGTTAGGTGCTTTGAGAGCCAGTGTGGTGCAGTAAAGAGCGCTGGGATGGGGCTCAGGTGATCCGGAGCTCATGGGGTGACTTTGAGCCAGTCGCAGACTCTTAGCTAAACCAACCTCACAGGACTGTTGTGAGGATAAGAGAGGAGGAGAATGTGAATTGTGCTGAGATCCTTGCAGGAGGAAGAAAGGTGGGCTGGACATATGAATCAACGTTTCATGATGAACAACAATGGGATATTTTTACGGCTCTCTTTCCAAACTCAAGACACAAACTCTGACACAAACTCACAGCTACTACACAACAGTACAGAGCAAGCAAGCAAAATCAAACGGTCATCATCGCTGTTTTTAATTACCACCTGCTGTGGGGCGACTCTGCGTTTCATCAGGACCATGTAGGGAGGGGAAGACAATCACTGTCTTTTTGTCTCACAATGGTCCCAAAAAAGATCCCCCCCCCCATTTATAGCAATTTATTATCTGGGACTAATGGGGTGAAAATGGAACAAAGGGGGGGTGCATGCGCAGGCTGATAAATGGAACAGGGCAGCTGGGATTTGGAGCGGCAGCTCTCCGTGCTGCAACATTTTGTTGTGGGTCCCACTTAGCCGCTTTGACTTCCCGGCTCCTTTTGGCAAACAGGCTGCAAAGGAAGCTCTCCCTTGCTGCTTCCTCATTCTTTTGCTCAATCACATGATTGAGACTCACAAAGTCAACCAGGACAGGAAATATTTTTTCCTCCCCCTTCCCTTGAATGGGCCCAGAGGTGAATTTTTCTTCCTTTTCTTAGCACTTTGCAGTAAAAAGGGCGAGACTTTTGAAAAGCACGTTCCACTTCCCTAAGCATCGCTTAACAGGAAACTTTAGGTTCAAAGCTGCAAAGTGGGAGGGAGAGGCAGGGCTGGTCTTACCATTAGGCCTTGGGTGACAGGTGCTGTGAGCCAGGTGATTGTCCTGAGTTGGCACCTCTCTCCCCGCAGCCTCTCTCCTTTCTCTTTCCCACCTGATCATGCCAGGAGGCTTCTAACTACAATATCTATTATCTTAAAGGTAGTTAACAAGAGATGGCTGTCGAATTAATGCTCTCCAACTGTGGAGCTAGTTCTTTTGCATACCAAAAGTTGACTCCAAGTTGAATTCTCTTTATCCCCTTCCTAAGACTCCATTTCTCAGGCTCAAGGAGCTCTCTGCAAGCTCCACCTCTCCCAAGGTAGAGAGAAAGATGAGAGAGAGAAAGATGGCTGCCTTGGGTGTCCGTTCTCAAGGGCTGCTGGCTGGACTTTAGTGGAATCAGAATCGAAGGGGAACTGGAAGGAGCCTGTAAGCCAAGCTGAGACTCTGAGAAGGAGAAGCTGGGATGCTTAGCTCAAGGCCAGACTCCCCAGGTGGGTGGGTGGCCTCTGGGAATCACCAAGATATGCAGCTATTGGGAGGGGGCTTGGAGCAGGGGGTTTCTCAGACTCGGCTGAGGCAGGTACAGCTCTTGCCCCCATGATGCGTCATCAGCAGAGGATGGAGCCCCCCTAGCCCCCAGCCAAGAAGTGGGGTACGTTAGTAGCCATTCAGGATCGGAAGTCATGCGTGCTCCTTGAAGCAAACATCTCGGAATTGACTTCGATTGGTTGGAGGTGGCAAAGTGCAGAGTTTTGCCAAGCGAAAGTTTAGTCTTGAAGGCCCTGGCAACCTGATCTCTGATTCTGAAGGCGCCTGTCTTCTGAAAAATCACCAGGGACTTTCCTGGCAGCTTCCATCTCAGCAGAAGGGTTGGGTCCGTGGCTTTTATAATTTCATCTTAATTCCATTCTGGACTGTTAGGGCAGAATTAGCCCTGTCATATCCTTCCTCCCCTCGCCCAGCGTGGATTTCTTTTGCTGCTGTCCACTTCTGCTTTCTACTGGGTGAACTCCAATCCTTGATCAGGGTGTTGGTCAATGCCTGTTGCTGCTTGAGGAAGCGCGATACTGAATGCTGGAGGTTTACAGTAGAAACACACGCAGTACATTCAGTCAGGACAGACCTCGGAGGGACTGGGGTGTTCCACAGTGGTTGTTCAGGCCACTGGCACAAGGTGAACCTTTCTACTAAATCCGGCATTAGGGCTGAAGGAAGTTGACAGGGTAAACACTGACTGTACCTATTCACCAAACCCAGTGAGTAGTGATAGCAACTGCAGTGCTTCCTGCTTAGTCATAGACTGGACTATGATAATCTGCTTTGTACAGGGCTGCCTTTGAGGAGTGCCTGAAATCTATAAACGGGTGCAGAGCGGATTTATTTATTTATTTAATAATAATGAAGATTGGGATAATATAACACTGGCCCAGAGTATGGTCTGAAGGCACATAATGTATCTATGTGTTGAAGATAAGCAAGTCTGGGGCTGGCTTGAGCTTGGAGGGGCGGCTACCTGAGAATCGCAAGCTCCCCCACAATGGGAGAATGGGGAGGTATAAATATAACACAGAAACAAACACAATAAAATGGAAGCGGACAGAGCAGACATGCAAAGCCCAGAATCTACAAACTGGTGCAGCAATGACGCAGAATGGGATATTGAGAATAAACATAATACTCATATAATGGGAGGATGATGATTTTTGAGTGTTAAGTAACCATGTGCCGGATGTCCTAACCCGGGTCTTCTGATAAAGGGAATTTTAAATAACCCATAGCTCACAAGCTAGCAATTAGCTGTGCCTTATCTTTTACGATCTTTGCAGACCCATAGTTCACTCGCAGTTCTCGGTTCACAAGTCTTGGCAACCAACAACTCACTAACCCATGCTAACAGAAACCAAGGTTCAGTATCAGAGTATCTGCTGCAGGTCTTTCTGTCCCTGGCCCACCTTTCCCGCAATACTGCATTGTCATGCCACACGCAGAAGTCTGCTTCTCTTCCGTGTAGGTCAGCCGAACCCTTCCAGTTTGCTTCCTCCCCGTCTGTGGGTCAGGTTGCAGGTGGCACGCCGCATCCAATATCCGAGGGTTGTTTAAACAAATAAGAAGTCATCTCGAAACAGGAAGAGAGAAAGCACCATGTCTTTTCAAGGGAGAGAATTTCACACTTTAAAGACCACAACGGAAAAGGCCCTGTCTCTTGTACCTGTCCCTCCTATAGACCATGAATGCAGGGCAACTACTTATCCCTGCAACTACTTAAAGTCTGGGTAGCTTAATTTGAAAGGCAGCAGTTGAGTAAGATGCATGCACCAAGTTTGTACACGTGTGTGTGTGTGTGTGTGTGTGTGTGTGTGTGAGAGAGAGAGAGAGAGATGGACTGGCAGTGATTATGTTTATTGTTATTTTGATTCTTGTATTTCTGTTAGAAGTTTGGGTTGTGGTTCTCAAGAATTTGAAAAGCCCTCTTGTGGTTTTTCACAATGAAACGGCCTGTAAATATTTCAATGAGCAGATAAAGAACAAAACCACAAAATCAGTCCCGTTAGCATCACAGGGATATCCAGTTCTCAGAATGAATGAACTGGCAGGAAGAGAAAAGGAAGAGTAGCAGTCTTTAATTTTCATCAGTCCAAGTTGTGTGGCAAGATACGGCCATTCCATTCCACAGACTCACCTGATAAGCAACTTTACATTTCTGTACCCTTTAAAAGAATAAGTCTGCATGCAAATGTATATGGGGCAATTTGATTTCAAATAACCTTAAACTGAAATATGAATGATAATACCAGCAAATTAAAGGGATTACTATAGGTTGCTAGCCCTCATGGTGCAAGAATATTAGAGCGTAAGCATGTTTGGGTCAGCAAATTCTGTCCAAAATTCTTGTTCCTTTTAATAGGGTATTTTACCTGTGTGTTTGGATAGAACGTCCCATGTCTTTTTCACGGAGATGGAGGCAGGCATGGATGTTGCTGTGGAAAAAAACCATACAAAACAGAGAGCCTCATGAAAAAGTCAAACAAACCCAGAAGCATTTTTTTAAAGGATCCAGAATTTTGACGGCTAGCTATGAATATACCAGCTCTTTTAAAAGGATGTGGCTTGCATTTTCCATATTCTGAAGCACCTAGAGCAGGGGTCTCAAACTTGCGGCCCGCGGGCCAATTGCTGGGATGGGTGGGACACGGGGGAGGGGCCCTGCGGCCTTCAAAGCGCCGGCGGTGCCCGGGCCGGCCACCGCGGGATGAGCGGCCCCCCACCACCGCTTGATGCGGCCCAGCCTCACCCAGACTCTACTTACAGTGGCCCCCAGGGAAGTTGAGTTTGAGACCCCTGACCTAGAGTCTTGGGAACAAGAGGAAAATACGAGCACCCATGGAACCCTCCTAAAAGCAAGATCTTTCCATAGAAAAGGGTGTAAATCCCACCACTACTTTTCACAAGCACAGATCATTCATGCCTTTGGTTTGGCTCACCCTTTGACAGCTGTCAAACCAACTCAAAGTGGGAAAGGCTATGTGGAACCTCTCTGGGCCAATGTCTAGGGTTGGCACCTGCTGTGCTTTGGCAGAAGGTACCTCCCTGGGCATGACCCAGGTGAGGCTGCCCGGTTTTGGACACCTGTAAGAGTTACAGGAGCACGCTTGCAAAAGACTGAAAAATTATTTAACACACAATCATGTGCAAAAATGTTTGAACATTAGAGATGCCTCTGCAAAATCAGTTTGCGAACATGGGGATTGGAAAGCCAGTTGTCAGGTCAAAGACTGTGATATCTGATAACAAAAAGGGAAAGCGTGGAAAAGCTGCAGCGAGCAGAAAACAGCTTGCGATCACGGAGGGAAGGTGGAGACTAGTTAGGCCTGGTGCAACGAGCATCCATGGAACACCGAGGGCAGAAGAGGGAGGGATGGGAGAAACAGCCCATGGTGAGACCGATCATCCGGCGGGTGCTGTTGTTTGCACAACAACCCACCCACCGTGGCTCGATGCCAGTGTCCACAGTCTACAAGGGCGTGGGCCACAATAAGACTGCCCTAGAAGTAGGACAAGGAGAAGAGGCAGCTGCCCTCAGGCCAGGGCATGGGAGTCAAGCCAGCGTCTGCACAGAACTTCTGCCTGAAGCCATTTTAGGAACCAAATTAGCTCACAACTGAGGCACAGGAACAGTCCTAACATTGACCAACTAAACTCTGACCTAGTAATCCACTGGAAAATAGTCAGGATCCTAGACATCTCTCCGGGCTGAACTCCTGTACCCAGCAGGCCTTTCCTAAAGGGGTCAGAAAAGCGATTTGGAGTCAGTTCTGGCACTCAGTCATGGACTCGGTCCTGGTGTGCTGCCTGTGTTGCCTCCGGCTTTGCCTGCTTGTCCTGTGAGGGGCCGCTGGGACACAGCAAGCGGCGGGCGAACCAGCGTGTCCAGATGGCAAGGCAAAGCAGCCCGCCAGGCAGACTCTCGCCTGTGGGTCCCTGCTGGAACCTGGGCCTGAACTCAGCGGCTGGCCTGGGACCTTGATGGGACCCCTCACAAGCGCGTGTGGAAGCACCTCTCCACGCAGAAGGGATTTAGGAGCATTCCACAGGCATCTTCCACGGACAGCTTCCAAACGCCATTGTGCTCCACAAGCTGCTCTTTGTTGCCCTGGTCACTGGTGAAGATAAGCCCAGTGGGCACTCTTCTGAATCCGTGAGAGGCTGGTTCAGCCAAGAATACAATTTGTCAGCGGTACCGTGCCAAATGGCACTGCTGATTTCTGGGAACTTACAGGTGATTTCTAATTATTGCATACCTCTGGCATGGAGACGTCAGCAACTGAGCATACCCACCTTTTCAGTTTACAGGCTGCTCCTGTGTAACCTACAACATTTCACAGATGGAAACAAGCGGATTTCTCTATTATCATGGCAAATATTGTCTCTGACCATGATCTGACTTTTTGTTTGTATCTGCAAAACTATTTTAGCTGGCCTTTAAGGTCCTGCTACTAGGCAGTAGCTGGTCTTTCACGGGTTCCAAAGCTGCTTCTCCACTCTTCTCATTCTGCCCAATATGCCCCATCAGGCCGAGTTTTCCCTTTGTGTCTAGGCCTCTAAACATCCATCCAACTTTACACTAGCAGGGGGTATTGGCTTCATTTAGCCCAGGGGCTGCCCTCCCTTTTAGAGAAGCTCCTGGGAGAAGCTTTCCAGTGGTGACTGGATCTGGAGCAAAAGGCTGGACTCTTCCCTGCTCAAGCACATTTTAGCTCAATGTACTTTGATTTCCCCCATTCTAAAAGACTGAAATCCCTCTCCAAAGGCTTAGTTACTAGTCTGAGTAAGTGGGGAACCGGTGGACAGTGGGCACGGAAAGAGTATGCAGCCAAAGGAAGTTGGAGAACCTCAGAGGGCCAGATGTGGCCCCAGCCTGAGGTTCTGCACCCCTGCCCTGGTTCTTTGGGAAATCCTATCCTGCCATCTCTGTCTTCTTGTGCTCTCACAGTGCTATTAGGAAAAGCAACAGCCAACCCGCAAAGAAGGGTGGTGATTGCACTAAATCTTCCTTTCTGAAATTTTCTTTTGGCAGAGTAAAACTTCTGTTCTTTATGCCTATGCTTGTTCTGCAGCCCATGCTTTGCAATTGTCTTTGCTTTTGTGTCTCTTTCTCTGCAGAGCATAAGAGGGAAAGAAGGATTGCAAATATATTCGTCTCAGCTTGGTCATTAATAGCAGAAAATGGGAAAAACACAAGTCCTGAATGGGAAAGCCGTGTTTGGCACAGAGAAAGAATGTACAGGGCAGCTGCATCAGGATATAGGAAGTCAGCCGTTTCTTCCCTCCAGCCCAGTATTGCAGACACAAACTGGCAGCTGTGGCTCCCCAGAGATCCAGGCAGATATGCTTCCTCCTCTGCCTGGAGGAGCCAGAGAGCCAGGGACCTCCTGCCTACAGAGCATGCCATGGGAAGCCTTTGTTGCACTTGTTCTTGTCTTACAGTGCAAGGAAAGCTGGGAAGGCCAAACTACAGAATCTATTTTGGAACATCAGTATACCTGGATGAAATATTCATTAATGAATTAAAAACATTTTTATCCCATAACAGACTCTTGAAGGGGCTTACATGCAGTCAATAAAATAGGAAGGCCTCTGCCCCACCGGCACACGATATAAAAAGACATGGCACACAGGCAAAAAGATGGGCTGGGGAAAAGATGAGCCAGTCTTTTGTCAGGGTTGACTGAATTGCTCATTTTGCTCTGTATAGCCTGCTAGAATATTAAAGGCAAAACATAATTATAGGAATACAAATACAGGAATTTTATAAAAAGTATAATGTTGAATTGGCTGTCCAAAATGATGAGGAAATTGTACAGTTTGCAGTTCTGAAACTGCACCTAATTTGGGTTTGTTTTGCATTTTATGCTTTGAAAATTGGTTGTTATGACGTATGTTCATTTGTCTCTTTGAATATGCGTTTTCAGAAACATTGCAGAACTCCTTGGGCTTCAGGCCCCTGCCCAAGATCCTGGTATTTTGGCATTGGTCAAGTGTATTCGCATGTGGGAATAGTTGTGTCAAAGGTTGTGAGCCGGGGCTAAGAATGAAGAAGCTTGGTCCACCAATCCAAAGAAGTTAGTCTTGCAACAGATTTTTTTGCATAATCTGTGCATTGAGCATGGGAGAGGAACTGCTCATGAGAAACTGCTCACGAGAAACTTGGCTGAGATTCATAGGAAAACTGAAATGTGGAGAATTCGTGCATTGTGCAAGCGTTGTGGTTACATCCATTGATCTGAGAGCAGCAAAGCGAGCTCCTTCCTGCAATGGCTTCCTTGCTGTGAGGCCCATCTAACGGTTAAAACGGGTGGTCGTGTTTCGCCTCTTACCACTGCCTATTAGTCTAGCAGTCACATTTTGTGGCCTGGGAGTTCTTACTCCGCAATCCAAAGCAAGCATATATGATTAAGGAGTAGAAGAGGCATTATTTAAACATATATTGCAGTGATGTCTTCCTTTCATTTCTATTCTGGAGTTGGCGCAGAAGTCCCAGTCCATCTTCAGAGCCCTCCAAACCCTCCCCTCCGGCTCCATCATAGGCTTCCCCTTGTCTGCCTTCTTCTGGACACAGGCCAAGGGAGGCAGAGGAGGGTCCTTTCAAGCCACTGATTCTTCCCTAGCCCAGTTCCTGGAGTAGCCTTGATCACTATAGATTTATCTTTTAGATTCCTCATCTCAACATGCTCAATACATTACTTTCTCTTTCTCAATATATGACAATTTGCATGAGCACCTTTTAATGCAGTCTGATGGCCTCTTTTGCCTTCTTCGGGTGATGCATTTCTTCCTTCTCTGGCAATGTACAGGTTGACCCCCTATTTGGGGGTGAGGGTGGAACATTTTAAGTGTTGAAATCCACTTTGTTGCATTAAAAATACTGACGCAGCATTGGATGTGACGAGCTCTTTGGGCTATATTCCAATTTGCTGCTTCATTCATTTGTGGGAGCTGAACCCAAAATCTGGGCTTTTACAGAATACAGAAGAGAACAGTGGCAAGCATAGACAGAGTAAAAAAGAAAAGGTCTGTACACAGTTCTTCCATTTTCTAGCTCATTTGACCTAGTCAGGCTCACATGGGAATGGCCTGAGCAGCCAGATGTGGCTCATCTCTGGTGAAGAGTAGCTGGAGGGAGGAAGAGGGCGTGGAAGGTAATGATTCTTCAGCTCTAGAGTCCCTTCAGTCTGGAATTTGCTTGAGAACTACAGCATCACTGCAAGGCAGGCAAAGACACTGGCTTGTTTCACATGCAACAGCAACTCCTAATATAGGTTCTGTACAGGCCAGTGTTGAATTGCGGGTTGTCATTATGTGTGGACCCTGCCCTATAGTTTAACTATGAAGTTGTTAACCACAAACAACCCAGGATGAGAGCCCATGGCTTGTTGAGTAGTTAACTCTGGGCTGTGTATGGTTGCAACCTATGGTTTAACCATACTGCTGGGTTTGCACATAACCAATGATTCAACAACAATTTGTACTCAAGCCTATTCTGGGTTGTTATACTATGTCAACCAAGTCATTTCAAGCACTAGAGTGGAAATCCAAAGGCAAATCCTGAATGCTTGAACAGGGCGCATTCTCCCCAGGTCCGGCGGCCCTTTTGAGGTGAGCTGGGACCCAACAAGCGCGAACAGTGACTGGAGACATCGTCTGTCACGTGAAAGCTCACTGAAATGAGCCAGTCGTCTGAGCTGTCACCTTCCCTCATGGCCATCAGACTTGAGGCTGCAGCAACATTTTTTCCAATCTAATTCTTTTCCCAGAAGCTCTTTACTCTGCTGCAAAGGACATTTCCATGTGCACAGCAGATCGGGAATGCTCAGAGTTGTAGGAGTTTCTTGTCTAACCATGCATCTTGTCCTCTAAAATACTTGTTTTCCCCAGTGGGGTAAAGAGCAGCGTTGGGGATGCTATTTCCACTGGGAAATGTGTTGGGGGAAAAGGTTAACACCCATCACCCAGAACTGTAGCGCCCTTCTAATTTGGAAGGCTGGGGGGAGAAAGGGATTGCTTTAAGGAAACACCTAGAGGTACAACATTTGATCTCATGAAACTAGTTTGGCCCTAGATCAGCAAAATGTATACATTTAGTATTTCCTGCGGGCTTTGAAAAGTCAGCCTACTCTCAGATGTACTTGGAGACTTAATTGGTTTCCTTCCATGAGCTGTTTGGGCCCTTAGAGGAGCAGAAAAATGAGTAAGCATTAAGTCTCCCAGTACCTCCCTCGCTGCCCCTTCATGAGCGGTACGCAGCATGAGAACGGGCTCTGTTTTTGGTTCTGCCTGCTTTGTGGACATGGAAAGCAAAGGCCCAACTGTTACTGCTCAGCGCTGGTTGTGTCTGGTGCATCTCACCCCACTGTAGTGGCTGTTTGGATTATTCTGCTGGGTTGCTTATGCCGATATTAATTTGACCCTAACCCTTGGCCCTCCCCCAGGAGCTGCTAAAAGGGAAATTACGGCAGGGAACTTGGCAGAGCAAGTGGAAGTAGAGTGGAGACTGCCCTGGCGGGCAGCCAGTTATGGAGTCCTTCTCATCGCTTTCAGTTGCATGTGCCTCCGCTTCTTCTCCTAACCCGCGTGCGTTTTCTGTGCATCTCTGCTCTCCCTCTTCTTGGGCTTGCAATCCTGAACTTGTAAACAGCAAGTATGTGCAGCTGAGCCCAGCCCCTAATGCTGCTGAGCCATCCTGGCAAAAGGAGCATGATCCTGTCCAAAGTAAGCACCCTAAAGTCCAGAGGGGGGAAGCCACACATTTTTATTTTCTATCTTTTTACCCCCGTCTCTCTAACAAACCTTGAAGGCAACTCAGTTGAACTCAGCAGGGCTTAAAGCACAAGCAGTCCATGTCTACTAAAACCCCACTTACTCTCAACAGGGTTCACTCCCAGGTAATTCTGTACAGGACTGTAGTCTTGAAAGAGTTGATGCAAGGGCAAAAGAACCACCTCTTCAAGAGAAAAAGGAAACGTTTCAAGTTGGCCCTGGAAGACAAGTGTATGCATAATATCAACATAATTATTCTCTTCCCTAATTCTTTAACTAGAAAGGGTTCAGAGGAGGGCAGCAGGGATGATCCAGGGTCTGGAAACGAAGCCTTACAGTGAGAGACTGAGTGAACTGGGCGTGTTCAGCCTTGAGGAGAGAAGACTTGGAGGGGTAGAACAGCTCTCTACAAGTGCCTCAAAGGCTGTCACACCGAGGAATGAAAAAAAATCTCTTCTTGCTCATCTCTGAATGTAGGACAAGGAATAACACACTTAAACTACAGCACACCAGTTTCAGGCTGGACTCCAGGAAAAGCTTCCTCACGGTCAGAGCAATACAACAGTGGAACCAGTTGCCTAGAGAGGTTGTGGGCCCTCCCACAGTAGAGACATTCAAGGCGAAACTGGACAGTTATCTGGGTGGGATGGTGTAACTTGGTGTCTTACACCAGCAGGGGGTTGGACCTGAGAGCCCCTTCCAACCCTACTATTCTCTGAATCTAAACTGGGATGAGGGGAGAGAGAAAAAAGTAAACTATAACTTTGCTGAAAACAGGCTTTTTTTGACACATTGACACGTGTATTAACTCTGTGGTAATTCTCCCAGCTGTTCTAGTCTTGATTTAGGGTCCTTCCAGATGAGGTTTTTTACTGCCTCACCACCAGCCTCACTCACCCAGTCTGACAGGTTCCAGATATTGCCACCTTCTACTTGTGGTCCTCCCAGGATTCCCTGCTATTTCGTCCACCCTTTTGCTTCCTGCAGAGCATCCATTAAGGAGAAAGATGGAGTAACTATCAAGCACCCTTGGGTTGGTGGTGCTAGGAGCTCTCTGGCTGGAAACGCCCATGTTGGCTGCTGTGCAGCCGCCATTTTGTGCCAGCACCCTGGAATGTTGGTATCCCTGTTGGTCTATGGCCATGCTCGTAAGCTCCCAAACTCAGCCTTACAAGCATCCTATACAGAGTGGGAAGAGGGGTGGAGGTGATCTTGGCCCCCTTTGTCCTCCTGCCCTCTGTGTTTTGCTAGATGGTCTTTTTTGTCCATCTAGCTAGAGTGGCTTGGAGTGGGAGGGAAGGAGGCTGGGAAGGATCAAGGTACATCCTATCCCGGCTTCTTCAGCCTCCTCCTTCCCCTCCATCTTCTCCTAATCTCCGAGGTTGGTTTCCCAACCTCAGAGAGCATCCTCTGTATTTGGAGCTCTGATTCCCAGGTCAGAGCACTGTCTCTGAACTTGGATCTGGGAGTCCAAAGCATCCTGTGACCCCACAGATGCTGCCCTACAGCCAAGTTTGCTCCCTAAAGCAGTAGGAACTGAGATAGTGACGGACCAGCTGGCTGAGCAACTCGCAAACCTGAAGATGTTCTTTGTCACTGGGCAGCTCAGTTTCCATGGCCAGTCACAGTGAACCCTCCCTGACAAATAATCAAGACGCCCCTTTTCCATGCATTACAGCATTAATAATTTCCACACCGTGTATTTTCCCCTTGTGATTTGCACTTCTGCATTTTTTCTTTGTCTTAAATGTGTACATGTCAAGAGGTTTTCCAGGAAGGGATTGTGGTGACTACGGGTACAATGCTCGACCACAGTGCTTAACACTGAAAGATCCTTTGGAAGATCAAAGCCATGTCCACATGAGTTTGCCTGGCCTTGTCCTAAGAACCCGGATAGCTGGGGAGAGCCCCAGAATAGAAATCAGTGCAAAGAAAGGCCAGAAATGGAAAGGAAAATGAGGAGGAGAAAGACAGGGGTGGGGGGAGATGGAAGAAAGGAGAAAATGTTGCCAGCAGGTCTGTCCCACCTGCTGTGTGTCCCAGTCTGGACTGCAGCGCCTGTCATTTCCAACCAGAAGTCCCTGGCCAGCGAGCATCGTGATCCCGCAGAGCTGGATAGCACCAGGTTGGGACAGCTGTTCTGTAGTTTGAAAGCCACCCATAACTGTAAAAATCAAAACACCACAGAATTTCAACACACAAGTTGGTAGCGCACGGAACCTGCAATCCCTGGTAGGTGGGGGAGTGATAAAATTAGTTGTGGGGCAGGAAGTGGAACAGTGTGGGAGGTCCGCCTGGCACCGTCGTTACTGGTTTTTCGGCGCCAGGTAAAGACCTTTTTATTTAAACATCATTTTAATTGTTAAAATATATGATCTGGCCAGGGCAACTTCTCCTTCTCTTTTCTCCTCCTATATTCTTTATTTACTTATTTTATACTGTTAATTTTAATTGTATATTTTATGTTTGTATCTCAGTGTATTTTTTGTATTTTTGTATTTAGTAGTAATTTATTATGTTCTATCGTATTTCAATGTATTTTATTGTGTTGTAAGCCGCCCCAAGGCTTCGGCAAGGGGCGGCATAGAAATGTAATAATAATAATAATAATAATAATAATAATAATAATAATAATAATAATAATCTTTGCCACACAAGCGAGCCAGATGGTGGGGTACGAGCAGAAAGCAGCTCGCCAGGGGAGGGAGTCTCATACCTGCTTGTTTCTGAGCCACTGCACCTTTAGTCAGAGTTGAGCTGGGCCCCTTGATTCGCTTTAGATGTAGCTGTTAAAAATAATGAGTAAATGTGAGAGCCAGCCTGGTCACTCATGCATGGACAAGTGTCCCCATTCCTCAGGAGACCTTGCTGGCTCGGTCCGAAGCCCGCCCACTCCCAGCACTTCCTTTCCAGTGGTGGCCGGCCAGGTGATTCCTGACAGAAACAAGAATGCCTCCCTAAGTTCATACACGAGTCATGATAGAACAATGAATAAGAATGCAAGCACACATGTTGCAGCCAGAATAAATTGCTAAAACTTTTATAGAACCGATGATGAAGAATGTGTAGTTCTCTTCTAGAATCATTGCATTAAGCAGAGCAGTGGAGGGAACTGAGGACTTGTAATGCCAGCACAGAAGACAGCTGGATGCTTCCCCTTCAGACAAGACCCAACAGAAGAGCGAGCTTCGCTTGGTGATGCAGGCCCAGTTCCAGGGGGGCACATTCCGCTTTGGCCCTTCAGCCCTAATTCTAAAGCAGCAGCAACAGCTACAGAGAAGAGCTCCCTCTTGTGTTCGTTGGATGAATGACTTAGCAGAAAAGCAGCAGCAGCAAAGAGAGAGAAAGCAGAAACATAGAAACAGAGCTAGTCACAAGGGGTCTCCCGGGCCATCTAGTCTGACCCCCGGCTCCAGCCGGCTCCGCTCACAACATGCCCACCATGTGAATGTCCAGCCTATTTTTGAACACCCGCTCTGATGGGAACTCAACCACCTCCCGTGGAAGCCCATTCCACACCCTTGGCGTCCTGACTGTCAGGAAGTGCTTCCTGGCATCCAAATTGAACCTTGGCTCCCTGAGCTTTGCTCCACTGGAGTGTGTCCTGCCTAGAGCTGGAGTCCGAGTGGCTCAGTGCTGGCGAGGCCCTCCTTCTGCCCGGCATCTGTCCCTCCCGTCTCCTGCAGTGGGGTAGCTGGCAGAAGGCACAGAGAGGCCACAGAAGTACCATCGGAAGAGGCCACTGTCCAATGTTCCTCCAAATCATTCTGGTTGCCGGTCATGAGGCACCAGTAGGCGATTGGGTGCTCACTCAGAGTCTCTCTTGAAGGTGTGGAGAGTCACCCACTGACGATGCCCATGGTACAATTGCAGGGCAGCTTGGCTCCATCTTTTCTACAGTCTATTCTCGCCTTCAGGACACAAAGCAGCTGTTGACGTCTCGGTGCAATCTTACAATCTCTCTTGCAGGTGTGGAGAGTCAAACGAGGTATCATTTCTCCGTTGCTGCTCCACTCTTTCTTGGCTGCAGGTTCTGAAGCACCAGTTGGCGTCTGGGTGCTCCCTTTGAGTCTCTCCTGAAGGTGTGGAGAGTCAAACCGGGAATCATTTCTCCGTTGTTCATCCACCCTTTTTCGGCTGCAGGTCCTGAGGCACCAGTTGGTGTCTGGGTGCTCTCTTTGAGTCTCTCTTGAAGGTGTGGAGAGTCAAACGGGATATCATTGCTCCGTTGCTCCTCCATCCATTCTTGGCTGCAGGTCACGAGGCACCAGTTGACGTCTGGGTGCTGTCATTTCACGTCATGTGTGTGTGTGTGTGTGAGTGGGTTTTTGTCTGGGAGAACTGGGCGAGTGAGAGGAACTGCAGGACAAACAAGGCGGGGAACCAAGGTAAGTTCTCGCAAGGGATACCGATGGCAGACCAGGAGCTTGCCTTGGCGGGAGCTGAGACTTGCCAAGACTATCAAGAGCAACAAAAAGGGCTTCTTTCAGCATGTAAATAGGAAGAGGAAGGGGAGGCAAGTGGTGGGACCACTATATAAGGAGGAAGGAGATCCAGTGACTGATATGAGGGAACAGGCACAGATGCTAAATGACTATTTTGCCTCTGTGTTCTCCCCAAAGCAGGACAGGGGATATCCGCATAGGAGATTAGATGAGGCTGGGGACTTAGGGGCACAGATTCAAGTCACCCCCCCCCTTGAAGTTGAGGGGCTCCTCTGGGCCTTGGACATTACAAAGGCGCCAGGCCCTGACGGGCTACACCCGAGAGTACTTAGAGAGTTGGCAGGGGTTCTCTCATGCCCGCTGGACTCCATTTTTGAGCCCTCGTGGAGAACAGGTGAAGTTCCAGAGGACTGGAGGGTGGCATCAGTGGTCCCAATTTTCAAAAAGGGTAGTAGAAAGGACATGGGGAATTATAGACCGGTTAGCCTTACGTCCATTGTAGGAAAAACAATGGAAAGGCTCATAATAGGGAGAGATCTAGTGATGCTAGATAGGGAAGGGAGGCTGACAGCCGCACAACACGGCTTCTGCAAAAACAGGTCCTGCCAGACAAACCTTGTGGAATTCTAGGACAAGGTTTCGAGGTGGCTAGATGGAGGGGATGCAGTGGATGTGCTATACCTGGATTTCAGCAAGGCCTTTGACAAAGTGCCCCATGATATCCTGGTGGAGACATGCAAGTAGTGACGGCGCCTGGCAGGCCTCTCACGGAAGCCCCTTCCAAGGGCGGGGGCAGCCATCAAGAAGGCCCTTCCTGTATTCGCCATCCCTCTCATGTCCTTTATGGATGGCTCTTCCAGAAGCAGGAATAAATAATAAACTTTCTGATATAATGATAATAAGTAAACGTAAACAGTAAGTACATTATTTGGTAAATAAGTATTTGAAACAGCAAAAGTCTTGGCTAATGGCTTTAATCCATTCTATGCACAAATGTTGCTCATCAGCCCCAAAGTCGGTTGCCAGTCGTGGGTTCTGCCCCCTCTCCCAGCAGCGGGGGGCCCAAAAGGGCACACGCCAGTCCATCAACTCTCGGCCCTCAGCCGCCTTGTCCCCGCCAGTGGGAAGCCGCCAACTGCACAGGGAGATGCTGCTGAAGGGACGCTGTTTGCAGGGCTCTGGCTGGGGGGCTCTGGTTCCAGGGCTCCGCTTCACAGGCTCTGCTTGCCAGGCTGGGTGGGTTCAGGAGCTCGTGTCTCAGACAGCTGGTCTCTCAGGCCCGTTTGCTCTTCCTTCACTGTCCCCAAAGGTCTGGCGCAGTCGGTCTTCCCAGCCGTGGCTCTCAGGTTACCAAGCATCGTTCCACGGAATATGTCAGAAATAAAGAAAAATTAGGAGGCGCAAACAATGGGGTGCCACTGCAGAGAAGCCCCTGTCCTCCACCATCCCTGGGATTTCAGTGAGCAGGAGGGTCTACGGAGGGGTACCAGTGGGGGGAACTAAGGAACGCATGGGAGCAGCTGCTCCTTGCAGCGCTCTGGCCCCTAAATGCCCGGGGGTTGTCCGTCATCACCAGCACCTTGACTGGTGCTCAGGTGGTGAAAGAGGACGGCAGGAGGAGGCTGCAGGCGGGAGGAGCTGGAGGAAGGGATTGCAAGCGAGGGCACCAACAGGACGCCCCGTGGTCTTGCTAGGGTTTCTGCGGGCAGCAGAAAGGGCTTCCTTGGCCTCTCTGAGTGCAGGATGCAGAAGGGTCTGAATCCTGCGGTGGTGCGGCCTGTCGGCAGCTCTGGTGATGGAATACCTGAGGGGGAAAGGAGGGAGGCCCTGTTTGTCATGTCCTGTGGGGGACACGTGCCCCCCCCCACTCCCTAGGCAGCATTCAGAGAACTGCATTCATGCGGCACTTCATGGCCCAGGTCGAAACTTCTCCATGAGGCTCTGCCAGAACCAGCCCTCCTGCCACGTATTTCAGGAGCGCAATTGCACGTTCTGCAGTCTTGGACTTCAGGGAACAGCTTTCAGCCCTCTCCTGTGTACGACCCTTAAGGTCTTTCCACATTCCCACTGCTGAAGTGCTTGGTGCACAGAGCTTTCACCCCACGCCCAAAACACAGTCCACATAAACACAGGGATCCAGAGACATTGGCGGACTCAGAGACCAAGAAGGGTCGTTGCGAGTTTACAATCAGAGTGAGAGGTGTGTGTGAGAATAGTGACTTACCCAGTACCCATCCCTGCAGATTCGGGAGCTGCAAGCAGAAAATGTTAGAAATGGTGCAGGGGACTGGGAGAATTTTAGAGAGGACTTGAAGAAAAAAGTGCCCTCAGAGAGGGGGGAAGATGCCAAACAAGGCCCCGGAGGGAGCAATGTAGTGCCCTCCAGACTACAACTCACATCAACCCCGACCAGCAACACTCTGCAAGCAGCTAAAGAAGACATGAGTCACCTGGGAGAGCCCAGCTTAGCAGTGGCAGCATTGCTCAATCACCCCAAAGGGCAGGATCCCCTCTGGGCAAAGGATGCTGCACTACGGGCTGCTCGCTACGACTTTTCAGAGCCAGTAGGGTATACATTTGTAACGCCAGCAATATTGTCTAAGATAACAGATGCGGATATACAAGTAGTTAAAATATCAGAGCATGCAATGGTCACTATGGAAATGGAAATAAAATGTGATTATAAACAGGCAAACGGGGAGAATAGATTTGAGGATTTTTAATCATGAGAAGATTTTAGAAAAAATGGATAAGAATTAAAAGAAATATGGAAAAGAAATGGAAAAGGAGGTAGTAATATGAGAGTAATGTGGGATGCAATGAAAGCAGTGGTAAGAGGGTGAGGAATAAAATCTTCATATAATATAAAAAATCCAAAGAGAACAATATATAAAGTTGGAAGAAGAAATTCAAGAATTAGAGAAAAAGTAGAGAAAATAAAATTATGTTAGCATTGACAGCTAAAAGGAAAGACTCACACCATATTGAAATAGAAGAAGTTCAAAGAAATCGAATAGATTTGAAAAAAGAATTTTATGAAAGTAGTCATAAGAATTCTGAAATGTTGGCCAGAGCCACACAAGTTAAAAAGGCAAAAAGTTTAATTGGAGTAACCGAGAAGGGAAAAGGGGAAAGGTGTACTAAGATGAAAGAGAATCTTTTAATTTTTCAAAGATTTTTTGAAAAGCCATTTATGGGAAATGAAATAGATTTGAAAGAAAGTCAGATGTATAGAGAAAAGAATGTAAGTTGTAAAATTCGAGAAGAGGATGAAGAATTTACGGAACCTCAGCTAGAAGAAGAAGAACCATTGGAAGATATTAATAAATGAAAAAGAGGTAAAGCACCAGGATCTGATGGATTGGGTGTTGAATATTATTATAAGAAAGTTAAAAAATTACTAGTCCCTAAGAAGAAAGTGATGTTTAATAAAAGAATGGAAGGGGTAACAATTCCAAATTCTTGGAGACAATCCATGATAGTACTGATAGCAAAGCCTAACAAAGACTTTAGAAACCCTGGATCTTAGAGACCAATATCTCTTATTAATCAAGATGCTAGAATTTTTACAGCGACATTGGTACATAGATGGAATAAATTTATAGATAAATATATAAAGAATGACCAATGTGGATTTATAAGAGGGTGAAAAATGTCAGATGTAGTAAGGTGAGTTTTAAATATTAACTATTATATAGAGGCAAAATTGAACGGCAAGCATTTGAGCATTATATATATTTAAATCCTTTGACTGTGTGGTATGGCCAACAATGAGGATCATAATTGAAGAGATGGAATTGGGAAAAAGTTTAAGAAAGTAATCGATCAAGTATATTCAGAAAATACAGCAAAAATACTTGCAAATGATGGCATTACAGAAACAATGACCCTAAGCCGGGGAACGAGACAGGGTTGTCCGAAATATTATTTGCTTTAATGATGGAAGTACTGGCCAATGCAATTAGGAATGATTTACACATAGAAGGAATTGGAGCATGTCTGAAAATCAAAATTAATGTATTTGCAGATGATACATTGCTAACATTTCAAGATCCAATGATTGCAATAGACATAATATATACACATTTAAAGGAATTTGGAAAAGATAGTGGGATGCAAGCAAATTGGGGAAAATCAGAAATGATATTAGATAATCATAGTAGTGAAGAATTGGATTTATTCAAGGAAAAGTAGAAATTAAAAATAGTAGAAAGCATTTGAGACTTAGGAATTGATATTCCAAAGAATAGTCAAGAATGACAGAAGAAAAATTATGAAAGGTGAAAGGAGGATATAAAAGATAAAATAGGAAAGGTAAAATGATCATGGTTCAGAAGAACGGCAGTAGCAAAAATGAAAATTCTGCCAAAGATGATGATGATTATTTTATTTTGGATGATTGCGAGTAGGTTCTACGATCCAGAATCAAAGCAAATGCAGAAGTTATTGGAGGTTTATTGTAATGGAGGGAAGAGAGCAAAGAGATATTGAATTAAAAGAATTAAGGGAAGTAGGTGATCACTTCGGGACGTACTTGTTGAAAAAGGAGGTAAAAAAGATTATTTAGAGAGTTCACAATCCCTTCTTAAAAAATATGATAGAAACATGGGGACAGCAGTTAATTCAGGGAATTTCTCCATTAACACCAGTGGTCGAAATGGAGTAATTCCCAAAAGTAGAATCAAAGGATTGGATGAATAAATTAAAAAAAATAATCAGATATATAAATGGTTAGATTGGAAAAATAAGATAAAATATAACACAGTTAAGGAGTAGATTGGCAGAGGCCAAACTAAATTGATCCAGCTTAATTCAATTAGACAAATGGATAAAGATGGAGGATAAATTGAACAAGGAAGAAAGACAATTCACAAAATTTGGAACGATTATGAAAGAATGTGAGATTAAGGAAGAATATGCAAGCAAAGGAAGAGTTGGTAACATTCATAGGCTATTAATAGAGTTAGGGGATCAGACAAAAAGTTTAAACTCAATGTGGGAACTGGATGTAGGTGAAATAAAAGGCAAGGATGGGAAGGCTATTTGGAATAGAAGAGGATATAAGAATATGTCAGAACGAAAGAACATGGATATAAAGAGATATGGAGATGGCACTAAACAGCAGGTAAGTTAAAAAAATTGATGATAAATATTCCAATATATGTTGGAGGTGTGTTTGGATCATGGTGTTTCTTGAAATTAGAGAAATTTTAGAGCTAAATTTAGAAATGACACCAAGAGTTGTGTTACTGCTGTTGACTGAAAAACAAGATATCAATGAAGGCTAGAAAGAATTGATCTAAAGTTTGATAATGGCAGCCAGGTTAGCGATAGTGCAATATTGGAAACAGAATTGGGTTATGCAAAGGCATAAATGGTAAGGAATATGGAATAAGGAATGTGGTTGTTAATGGTAAACTGACATCAGAAATAAAACTTAAAAAAGGGTTAATAAAAGCAAATACATATAATGAAATTTGGGAAGATTTACCTTGAAAAAGCAAAGGTAAAAGTTGTAAGCCTAATCAAGATTATGTGATAGTTTTGGAGGGGAGATGGGTATAATTGGAATATATTACCTATTGTTAATTATTCTAATACATGACATGAAATGGAGGTATTATTGGTCTGCTGGCTGGTGGGCACACAGTGTTATTTACTCTTTTACTCAGGAGTTTGGTTCTAGGAATATCTTAAAAAAAGGAAGAAAAAAAAGAATCTCTGTTAGAGACGGGCTTCAGGAGGATCAACCTCCTAGAGGGTTTCCCCCTGGGCTTTAGCTCCCAGCTGAGCCTTTGCAAAAGGGCCCCATCCCAGGAATCAGGGTCCTTTTGCTGACCTTGGTTGGCTTCAGTGGCAACGGAGGAGCTGAACTGACATAATGTGATAAACATGGCACTTACACAAGTGATTGCCTTGCTTCCGCACAGATGCTTCCTCTCCGGGGCTGAGACGCTGCACTCAGGACCCGGCGCTCCAGGATGCGGCTCCCTCCCGAGACAGCCTCCTTCCACGGGTCACTCCGGTTCGCCCGTCCCAAGCGCTGCTGCAGTCCGTCAGGCCACCGGGCCTGGGGCGAGAAAGAAGGGGTCCTGTGGCTCAGAGGGAGGGTTGTACTGCCCTCCTTCAGCTGCAGGATGCTTGAAGGGATGCAGGCGGGCCCCCGGGGAGAAGCTGCTACTCCCTGGTCCTTTGAGAGTGGACAGTCAGCCGTGTGCTCACTGGGGACGTGCTAAGCCTTCCCGGGCAGCGGAAAGGGGTCCCCCTGCGTTTTCCCGCCTCCTTCCCTGGCCCTCCAGCTGCTCCGCCCGGGGACAAGGCCCAGCCGCTTTGCCTCCTCCCTCCAGGAGAGGCTGTCCACCTTTCCCCACTCTACGCTTGTTTGTTTTGTTTTGTTTTGTTTTGGAGAGCACAGTCTCCAGTGGACAGTTGGGCTTGCAATCTGGGTTGTGACAGCTGTCAGAGTTCAGGTTCCCTTTTGAAACCGCACGTGTTTGCTTTCTCAGAAAGGACTGGTCCAATGACCAAAGTTCAGGTAGGCGTGTGATCACAGCAGGAGAAACCGAGTCAGTGAAGGGGGCCCTGGGGCCACTTGGGCCCTAGGGAGCAACCGTCTGTGTTGGGGCCCTGGACAAGCTGGGTACAAGTGGGAAGGGCTCTGCACCCTGGCCCAGCAGCCGGCTCGCTGCTTCCCTGAGGCACGCTGACTCGCACCAAGCCCGGCAGTGGTGCACAGGCTGTCCTGTGACCTCCCCTGCAGAACGTCCCGATGCACAAGACACGCCAAAAGAGCCTCATGTGAACTTGGGCAAGGGCTGAGGATTAGGGACGAGCTGCGGGTTCGGCTCCCCCGGGAAGGCGAGGGGCCCAGGCCGTACATGCATCCGCATGGCTGTTGCCACCAGTTTCCAAATCGGTGGGTTGTTGAGGGATGTGGCCTACCACATGTCCAACCCTTCAGGGATCACAGTTTGAGACACAAGCAGTCCGGCAGAATTCATCTGCTGCAGTTCCGGGGCCAGAACCACCCTGGAAAACCCTTCCTATGTCAGAAGGCCAGCTGCCTTCCCTGCCCCCACGTTGGCCATGGCTGATGAAAGAAGAGTCCAAAAGAGCCATAAATATGCCTGTGATGTAATTACATCTCATTTGAACGTATGTAAAAGGCACTTACCACCGTGTCACACCGAGGTTTAACTCCCTGCTGCAGAACGAACCACTCTGGCAGGGAACTGCATCAGGCGCACATCTCGGATCCGTGGCTGGGGAGCTTGTAGCAGTCCCGCTCTTTGCCAGCGCATTCTCCCATCCGTGTCACGAGGCACCAGGGGAATGCTTTCTGCTCTCCTCTCGAGTTTCTCATCGACTCGGGGAGAGCCAGCCCCGAAGGCGTCCTGCCTAGGTCAGGAGCCCATCCCGTCGGATGACCGCAGTGCAGGAGGACAGACGCGTACCCCAGCAGTGCAGAGGTGGCTCGCCATCCGCCAACTCCCGTCCAGCTCGCTCTCTCTCTCTCTCTTCCATGCACCAAGCACTAGGAGAGGCACCTGCGACTCTCGCGTGGAGTCTGCAGAGCAGAGAGCTGGAGTCCGAGTGGCTGAGTGGTGGCGAGGCCCTCCTGCTGCCCGGCGTCCGTCTCTCCCGTCTCCTGCGGTGGGGTAGCTGGCAGTAGGCAGAGAGAGGCCACGGGAGTGGCATAGGAAGAGGCCACTGTCCATTGTTCCTCCAAATCATTCTTGCCCGATGGTCAAGATGCACCGGGTGACATCTAGGTGCTCCCTTGTAGTCTCTCTTGAAGACATGAAGAGTCAAGCAGTGGAGATGGCCTTGGTACGACCGCGGGGAAGCATTGCTCCACCTTTTCTACTGTCTATTCTCGCCTGCTGGACACAAAGCGCCAGGTGGAGTCTGGGTGCACTCTCGGAGTCTGCATTGAAGGTGGGAAGACTGAAAGGGTGACTCATTGCTCCATCACTGCTCCACCCTGTTTCATGGGCAGGTCCTGCGGCACCAGTTGGCGTCTGGGTGCTCTCAGTTCATTTCCCTCATAAGGTGCTGAGCCCGTCTCTGGCAAGGTCCTCCTTCTCTCAGGACTCCCTCATGGTGCATGAGGGCAGTGGGGGAAGGCAGGCATGTTGCAGAGCAGCTCTGGTGGAGCTCGGAAGGACCATCTTGCCTTCAGCCTTGGATGGCACAAACCAGGAGGAGATTTCATTCAGCTCTCTTGTGCCATTGCACATTGTATTGAACTCTGATGAGGCACTGGAGGTTTCGGTCGTACATAATCTGAGGTCAGTTCAGTGGAGGCCTTTGGGTAGATCTCGGATTTGCGGCTGGGGAGCTTGTAGCAGTCCCGCTCTTCGCCAGCGCATTCTCCCATCCGTGTCACGAGGCACCAGGGGAATGCTTCCTGCTCTCCTCTCGAGTTTCTCATCGACTCGGGGAGAGCCAGCCCCGAAGGCGTCCTGCCTAGGTCAGGAGCCCATCCCGTTGGATGACTGCAGTGCAGGAAGACAGACGCATACCCCAGCAGTGCAGAGGCAGCTCGCCATTCTCCAACTCCCGTCCAGCTCGCTCCCTCTCTCTTCCATGCAACAAGCACTAGGAGAGGCACCTGCGACTCTCGAATGGAGTCTGAATTGCATAGAGCTGGAGTCCGAGTGGCTCAGAGGTGGCGAGGCCCTTCTTCTGCCCGGCGTCCGTCTCTCCCGTCTCCTGCGGTGGGGTAGCTGGCCGAAGGCACAGAGAGGCCACAGGAGTGCCATCGGAAGAGGCCACTGTCCAATGTTCCTCCAAATCATTCTGGTTGCCGGTCATGAGGCACCAGTAGGCGATTGGGTGCTCACTCAGAGTCTCTCTTGAAGGTGTGGCGAGTCACCCACTGAAGATGCCCATGGTACAATTGCAGGGCAGCTTGGCTCCATCTTTTCTACAGTCTATTCTCGCCTTCAGGACACAAAGCACCTGTTGACGTCTCGGTGCAATCTTACAATCTCTCTTGAAGGTGTGGAGAGTCAAACGGGGCATCATTTCTCCGTAGCTCATCCACCCTTTTTTGGCTGCAGGTCCTGAGGCACCAGTTGGCGTCTGGGTGCTCTCTTTTTGTCTCTCTTGAAGTTGTGGAGAGTCAAATGGGGAATCATTTCTCCGTTGCTCATCCACCCTTTTGCAGCTGCAGGTCCTGAGGCACCAGTTGGCGTCTGGGGGCTCTCTTTGAGTCTCTCTGGAAGGTGTGGAGAGTCAAACGGGGAATCATTTCTCTGTAGCTCATCCACCCTTTTTTGGCTGCAGGTCCTGAGGCACCAGTTGGCGTCTGGGTGCTCTCTTTGAGTCTCTCTCGAAGGTGTGGAGAGTCAAACGGGGTATCATTTCTCCGTAGCTCATCCACCCTTTTTCGGCTGCAGGTCGTGAGGCACCAGTTGGCGTCTGGGTGCTTTCTTTGAGCCTCTCTTGAAGGTGTGGAGAGTCAAACGGGGTATCATTTCTCCGTTGCTCATCCACCCTTTTTTGGCTGCAGGTCCTGAGGCACCGGTTGGCGTCTGGGTGCTCCCTTTGAGTCTCTCCTGAAGGTGTGGAGAGTCAAACGGGGAATCATTTCTCCGTAGCTCATCCACCCTTTTTTGGCTGCAGGTCCTGA